CAACACCCACCGGGGCCGCACAGGGCAGTCACCGCCCCCTGGTGACCATCCTCCCAGAGGACACATCACCCCATCGGAGACCTGGCCACTCACCCGGATGGTCAAGATGTTAAACTATTCCCAGTATTACCTGATCTTAGGGCAGAGGCCAGCCCTCCTCCCAGATCGCTGGCCCTTCACTTTTGGACAAGAGCTGAGGGACAGACTGAAGACGACCACCTGTGTCATTATTACAGGATTTGCTACGACAAGTTTTAAAAATGTTTATTGATTTCAGAGAGAGAGGGAGAGAGAGAGAGAGACCCCTGCATGCGCCACACCCGGGCAGGTGCCCCAACTGGGAACCAAACCAAGACCTCCTGGCTTACAGGCTGATGCCCAACCACTGAGCCACACCGGCCGGCACTGCTACAATTTTACTTAGATGTGTACTTTCTTGGTTACAACGTGCCTCCCCTGACTTCTCACGTATCTGCTGCCCAGGCTGTTAAACAGGGTGGGTTGTTTGTTAGCTGCTGAGGCATCCACGCTGCAGCCGGCTACCTCCAGCAGACACGGTGACACGGTGCCCCATGGAGAGGGAGAGCCAGGCCGCCCCCCCCCCACCTCCCTATGAAGGTCCCTGTGTTTTAGAGATCTCAGGTGGCTCAGACACTAACTGGCTGCTGGTTTTTCCTTCCCGCGCTTTAATCCCCACACTGATGTCTTACATTCACCAATAAAGAGTGAACAGGCAAAACCCTGGGCCCCCATAAAAGCAGAACCCCAGGCCGTGCATTGTTCACAAGTTCCCGGTGCTGCTGCTGGGCACCCCACTCTGAGAACCCTGCTCAGATGGCAACACTCCCGCCCCCTAAAGCTCGAACTCTAGTTGATGGTCAAGGACACAGGTGAGTCCGATGGAGCACAATCAGCCTCAACTGGAGAGCAGTAACCGGTTGAGGCAAGAAAAACCACACAACCCGATGCCCGTCTGAGCTGCTGCCACGCCAGGGTGCTCACTGAGGCAGCTCAGCCTGCTGCCAGCCATCCTCCACTCTGCCCCAGGGTCCCCCCCGCCCAGCATGTTCCCCACCGGCCGGCTCTGCAGGGCGGGACCCCAGCTGCCACTCATGATGGCAACTGCAGCCACCTGGGCCCTGTTATCTCAGGTGCTCAGCACACTGCACCTCAGCTCTGTCCTGGTGTAGAGGGGGACCCTCAGCTCCTAGCCACGCTGGGCCCCTGACAGCACAGGGCTCCCTGCCTGGGTGACCGGCGCCTCCACCAGGCCGCTGTGAGTCACGCACTGGGCCGCCTGCCTTCCACAGCTCATCCCCGCTCCCACGCCCACTTCTCTGAGCCTCAGTCACACAGCCATTCTGCATCTCCACCTTGTCTAACGTGGCCCAGGGCTGCTTATGTGATCCTGGCAACAGCTATCCCCTCCCCTGCGGGCCTGGCCAGGGTGTCAAACCACATCCTGGGTGAGTGCACCCAAATCAAACTCTCCCGTGTCCACATATCCACGTTAGGGTCTGCCCCTCCCCTGGATGGAGCAGCCTCAGTGCACAGTCCCCCCGAGCTCTGCCGCCCCGGCCACCACCTGCTGCCTGGCCCGTGGGCAGCTCCCTGGGCAGAGATTCTCTCTCCCTTCCCCTCAGCCCAGGCCCCGCACATGGTTGTGGCCAGGAGCAGAGGGGGGCTGATGCCAGGGTGCCCGTGTCCTGCAGGCTCGGCAGACCTGCCTGGGTAGAGGTTTAACCTTGGGAACTTGGCTGCTCGTGACTAGATCCTGGGCCCAGGCCTCAGCTTTCTCCCTGGCGGTGGGCAGGAGGGAGCGCCCTGCTGTGCGCCCTGGGAGGCTACTGGTAGCGTGTAACTGCCTATAAATCACTCTCCGCTTTTTCTTTTCCCGAAGACCCCATTGTGCTTAGCAACAGACACAGCATTTCACCGTCCTTATAGTTTCTCCCTCCATTTTCCTCCAACTCCTGACCAGAGTGCCACCCCAGGTCCTCAGCGGTCGTTTAACAATTTCACTGTTACCTTGTGCCGGCGGTGAAGGGGTCCTGGTGGCCAGCCGGCAGCCACTGCTCCAACGCCAGAATCCCATCCTAGCACCCGCCTTCTGGGACCCACCCGGGGTCCCAACGGCCACAGCTCGAGCGCCCCAGGGAGCAGGTTCTGGATGAAGATTCCGATTCAGAACGTCTGTCGGAGAGCACTCCCGGAATCAACGCCGTGGAAGGGATGGAAGGAGAGACAATTTCGACACTAACCCAAGTTTGGGGTAAGAGACTGGGCCTTTAAAAGCCCCATGGACCAATCAGGGACCAGGGCTGCCCAGCAAGGAGGCATGACCCTGGTCAAGATGATTCCCTTCAGCTGAGAACATTTGCAGAGAAGATGGACAGCTGAGGGCTGGGAGTTATTCCTGGGGGCTCATCACAGCTGGTCCGTGGCTGGTCCGTGGCTGGTCTGTGGCTGGTCTGTGGCTGGTCTGTGACTGGTAGGTGACGGGTGACATTCTCCGGATGTGGATTGTGGACGTCTTCCTAATCAGTTCAGGTGTTTCAGTTAATTAGGAAGCAAGTTCGTGGGCAGACAGAGAGGCGGGGCAGCCTGGACCGGGCCTGTTACGTGGGCCCCGCCCTGGGGGATGTGTTTGTAAACTGACACAGACTCTCGACCAAACGTGGAACTTTTTGCTAAACTGTGCTTTTCAGAATAACGCCGAATTCAAAAAAGTATATTTGGAACAACTTCGGTATGTTAGACTACTTTTTCAACTATAATTTTTATGAATTTTACATGAAGATCAAGTATTCCTGATGAGAATGTAAAGCTTAATTGAGATGTTTTGTAAGTGCAAATTACACACTGAATTTCAAAGACTTAGTATGAGAAGACGAATGTAAAATGTATCATTAATAATTTTAAAATGTTTGATTCCATGTTGAAATGATAATATGTAGATATATTGAGTTAAATAAAATATATCAATAAAATTAAATCACCTATTCCTTTTGACTTTTTAAGTAAGGCTACCAGATGATTTAAAATAACTTATTTGGGCCAGGCTGGCGTGGCTCAGTGGTTGAGCGTCGACCTATGAACTAGGAGGTCACAGTTCGATTCCTGGTCAGGGCACATGCTGGGGTTGCAGACTCGATCCCTGGTGTGGGGCATGCAGGGGGCAGCCAATCAATGATTCTCTCTCATCATTGATGTGTCTATCTCTCTCTCCCTCTCCCTTCCTCTATGAAATCAATAAAATATATTTTAAAAAATAAAATAACTTATTTGGCTCATATTATTTCTTTTGTACAATGCTGGGTTAGAAGAAAGTCAGAGGCCAGACACAACTAAAAAAAATAAAATAACTTTTTTGGCTCATATTTCTTTTGTACAACGCTGGGTTAGAAGAAAGTCAGAGGCCAGACACAACCATGCGATTTTCACATTGGCCACCAGGTGGCAGCCTTCTACCAGGACGGCGGTTTTCAGCAACCTGGAGGCCGCCTCCTACAAGATCAAAAATTTTTTTTCCAAGATCAATCTTCAAGGAACTTTAGAAACATCAGATGGGGAGACAACTGGGAGAAAGACCTGGGAGACGAGAGAATGATTTGAACCGGGATTGTGTGGTCATCGCTGTGGGCTCAGCTGTGGGAGGATAAAGTAGGAAACGAACTGTCAGGATTCTGTCTGCTCCAACTCCAGCGCACTGGGGCGATGGTGCCTGCCCCAGCCCACCTGGGAAGCTAGTGCAGGTGCCCTCCGAATAAGTGGGAGGTGCAGGTGGTCTGTGCAGTGAGGAGCCAGGAGGACAGGGACACCCCCCCACAGCGGGGGCGCTGAGCGGGGAATGGAGCCCAGCGCAGTTTCTTGGTGGGACCAGCAGTGAGTAGTTGTGGCTTTGTGGCACCTAGAGCTCGTCCACTGCTGAGCGCAAGGGACTGACCCCCGCTGGGGACTTTGGCCTCACTCCATGTTGCAGGCCCTAGTCTGCGGAAATGTGCCCTCACAGGCCAAATACAGAGAACTCTGAGGACCTCAGTTAAACTCAAAAACTAAAGCTTCAATAAAAAAAAAATTACAATAGCTCAAAACCCTCAAATATGTTTAAATCCGTGAGTACATAATTATCCTAAATAACAAAATTAATTGGGTCACTTTTTGGGGATGATAGAGAACAAATTCATTATCTTAAACATCCATAAAGGAAAAAAATGTAAAAAAAAAATCTGTAAAGGAAAAAGAAGTAAGCGTAGGCCCTGCATGAACAGTCCAACTGGATAACTGAGTGAAAGGGGGGAGCCAGCTCTCTGGGGGTCTTCCGGACGGTAAAGGAGAAAGCAATGTTAGAGTTAAGTCCCACCACTGCGCAAGCCCCCAGAGAACTGACAGACTCAGGCACCGACCTCGCAAAAAAGAAACAGCCATTCCTGGCGCTCCCTAATGAACGAAGCCAGTCCCACCTGATCAAGCCTCTAGATTTAACTGCGGAATCTCATCAAGCAGAGGAACAAAGAGGGAGCAATGGTGCCCACCTCTGGCACAGGAGCTACACAGTTTAGTGTGTGTGCCATGTGGGGGCACCTGGGGTCTGAAGCAGGAAGGGTGAGGACCAGATGTTTGTTCTGGGGCACTGGGTGTGGAGGGGGCTAAAGGCAGAGAAGGGAGCCTGGGGCATGTCATGTGGTGGAGGGAGAAGCCTTCCTGGGTGGGGTATCTTGGTGCCAATGCCCACCCCTCAGGGCTATAGACTGCATAGCCTGCCCTGGGACTCCTGCCTTCCGGAAAGCTCCATGGGCCAAAGCCGGCTCCAGCAAGTAGGACCCGAACTCGCCCCCAGGGAGGATGAGATACAACGACAGCTTCCTGAGAAGCGGGGGTGGGGCGGGTGTTGTAGGGATACCTGCACCCTGGAACGCGAGTGGCGATGCCGCCCCCTGGTGGGTCACAGGGGAACTGCAGCCCCCACCCCTCAGCCACACAGACACGCGGAGTCAGTGTCCTGTACAGATGCTTTTATTGGGGACACTCGGGGTTGGGAGGGCAGGGGCCGTGGGTTCAGTTGTTGGCCAGGATCTCCTCAACCCAGGGCATGAGCTCCGTGACCCGGGCGTACACGGCAGGCGTGGAGGTGGAGCAGGTGCCGCTGCCCCAGGACACGATGCCCACCAGGGTCCAGGTGCCGTCCTTCTGGCAGACCAGGGGGCCACCAGAGTCGCCCTGCAGGAGGAGGAGAGGGCTTGCTTGGGTCCAAGCCTGAGAGGGTGCGGGGGCCCTAGTGCGCCCTGACCTGGCTGAGCCCGGGCGGGGGCTGCAGAGAAAGGACAGTGTGGGCCTGGCCGGCACGGGATGCTGAGAGCTGGTCAAACCGGCCACCTACTCCTGGAGGCCACCCTCTAACATGGGCCGAGGACGTCCAAGCTCACGGGGTTGGGGGTATCGGATGCCCCTGGGAAGCCCAGAGCGAGCCCTCCGGGGGGCACCGGTGAGTGCCGGCCTGGCGTTGGTGGTCACAGGGCAAGGAGGGGGGTTAAGCAGACAGATCCCGGCCTGAACGGGGGGTGGGGGGGCGAGGTCGTGGGGGGCCCGAGGCCCGAGGCAGCCATACCATGCAGGAGGAGACGCCGCTGGCGCCGGCGCAGACCATCACGTCGGTGATCTTGTTGCCCCAGAACTTCTTGCACTCGGCGTTGGACAGGAGGGGCAGGGCCGCCTGCTGCAGCTTCTCAGGGGTCTTGTTGGCTGGAGGGGGAGGGGGGTCAGCGCTTCTCGCCCCACAGCCGGCCCCGTCCTGCCCGCCCCGCAGGTCCTCATCCTTAGCAACACGATGGCCGATGGCCGTGGGCACAGAGCTCCCCTCCCTCAGGCCCCACCAGCGTCCGTGGGGCGCGGCTGCTCTGGTTCCACACAAACCCCCCACGGGGTGAGGGCCGGCGGGGCCTGCAGGGACCCCCTCCACCCCCTTCCTGCTGCCTCTGTCCTGTTCCAGCACCAGCCGGAGCCGTGGCCCGAGGAGAGCGGAGGAGGCTGCAGGGGGATCAGGCAGGGCCAGCAGCCAGGGAGGGGGACCAGGCCCCACTCTCAGAACCGGAACCAGACCTGGACCTCTCTCCCAGCCCAGATGGCAGCGAGCGGGCCGCTCCCCTCTCCCGGGTCTGGGGAGAAGCCAGGCAGGCCCTGCGGGTGCCCAGGTGTTTCTCAGCATCTAACTGTTCACCTTCATTTACTAAGCCACGCCTTTACCATGTGTGGCAGGCGGCTAATTAACAGGGTTAAGTAAAGAAATGGAAGATTTATGACTAATAATTTATGACTAATGGAATTTAGAATAAAAAAACCAAGAGCCCTATGGGTCCCGCCTGGAGACCTCCTCGCAGGCAGCCCGACCCCACGGCGCGGGAGGCCCCCCCCTCACCGTTGTACTTGTCTTGCCCCAGCCCCCCCTCACCGTTGTACTTGGTCTTGCCCCAGCCCCCCCTCACCGTTGTACTTGGTCTTGCCCCAGCCCCCCCTCACCGTTGTACTTGGTCTTGCCCCAGCCCCCCCTCACCGTTGTACTTGGTCTTGCCCCAGCCCCCCCTCACCGTTGTACTTGGTCTTGCCCCAGCCCCCCCTCACCGTTGTACTTGGTCTTGCCCCAGCCCCCCCTCACCGTTGTACTTGGTCTTGCCCCAGCCCCCCCTCACCGTTGTACTTGGTCTTGCCCCAGCCCCCCCTCACCGTTGTACTTGGTCTTGCCCCAGCCCCCCCTCACCGTTGTACTTGGTCTTGCCCCAGCCCCCCCTCACCGTTGTACTTGGTCTTGCCCCAGCCCCCCCTCACCGTTGTACTTGGTCTTGCCCCAGCCCCCCCTCACCGTTGTACTTGGTCTTGCCCCAGCCCCCCCTCACCGTTGTACTTGGTCTTGCCCCAGCCCCCCCTCACCGTTGTACTTGGTCTTGCCCCAGCCCCCCCTCACCGTTGTACTTGGTCTTGCCCCAGCCCCCCCTCACCGTTGTACTTGGTCTTGCCCCAGCCCCCCCTCACCGTTGTACTTGGTCTTGCCCCAGCCCCCCCTCACCGTTGTACTTGGTCTTGCCCCAGCCCCCCCTCACCGTTGTACTTGGTCTTGCCCCAGCCCCCCCTCACCGTTGTACTTGGTCTTGCCCCAGCCCCCCCTCACCGTTGTACTTGGTCTTGCCCCAGCCCCCCCTCACCGTTGTACTTGGTCTTGCCCCAGCCCCCCCTCACCGTTGTACTTGGTCTTGCCCCAGCCCCCCCTCACCGTTGTACTTGGTCTTGCCCCAGCCCCCCCTCACCGTTGTACTTGGTCTTGCCCCAGCCCCCCCTCACCGTTGTACTTGGTCTTGCCCCAGCCCCCCCTCACCGTTGTACTTGGTCTTGCCCCAGCCCCCCCTCACCGTTGTACTTGGTCTTGCCCCAGCCCCCCCTCACCGTTGTACTTGGTCTTGCCCCAGCCCCCCCTCACCGTTGTACTTGGTCTTGCCCCAGCCCCCCCTCACCGTTGTACTTGGTCTTGCCCCAGCCCCCCCTCACCGTTGTACTTGGTCTTGCCCCAGCCCCCCCTCACCGTTGTACTTGGTCTTGCCCCAGCCCCCCCTCACCGTTGATGTGGGGGGGGGAGGGGGGGGTGGAATTATAATCCAAGGGCACGGGGAGCGCTGACCCGCCCAGGGAGTGTGAAAAGCTCCGTTTGCCACAGCTGGGCCCACACTCAAGTCTCTATTCCAGAGTTTCAGAAACTACTCATTGTACAGAATTTTTGTTTCTTAATCCTCCTATATAATAAAAGGCTAATATGCAAATCGACCCAACCGCAGAACGACCAGTCGCTATGACGTGCACTGACCACCAGGGGGCAGATGCTCAACGCAGGAGCTGCCCCCTGGTGGTCAGTGCACGCTCACAGGGGGAGCGCCCCTCAGCCATAAGCCGGGCTGACCGCTGGCAAGCGCAGCCGCCCGCCTCCAGGGCAGCACTAAGGATGCTGGACTGCGACTTAGGCCCGTTCCCCACAGGGAGCAGGCCTAAGCTGTCAGCGGACATCCCCAAGGGCTCCCGACTGCGAAAGGTTGCAGGCCAGGCTGAGGGACCCTCCCCCCTGAGTGCACAAATGTCTGCACTGGGCCTCTAGTTAATAAAACAACTTTGAAAGGACACACTGAGGAAACAGAAACCCAAGGACTTAAATGGTCGCAGGAGAATGAGAAGAGACAGGTGCTCAATGTGACCATGGGCAGGACCCGCACGTTCTCCCCTGGGAGCCGGTGCAGCAACCTGTGACCCCGACGGCCCAGCAGGCCGCCTGCCCCTCCAGCCGGTGGGACAGGGAGGTGGACCAGCCCCTCACTGAAGGTTGTTACCGCCCAAACATGTCATCATAATCATCTAGTTCTTGTCACAGCAAACAGGATTAGCAGCACCCGGGGATGTATTTACACAGCTGAGCATTTCACGGGGTTAAAATGAGTGAGCCCCACTCCATGGGGACAAATCTACAACATTTCGTGGGTGGGAAAAGGTAAAACTGGCACGGAGGGTCCTGCCGTTTATGTAAGTTTTCACGAAGGTTATACTTCGTGGATTTATAAATATGTAGTAATTTGTAAAAACCTGCACAGAACTGAGACACAGCAAGTTCAGGTGCGGCTTCACTGGCCAAGGGGAGGCAGGAGGAGGCAGAGGGGGCTCTCACTGAATCTAGTGGGTGTTTTATAAGAAATACCTCAAACAAATCTGCTAAAGGGGTAACTTTTGCTAAACCCTGATGGTGCAGGGTTGTCATAGAATTTTCTGTATTTTTAATGATTTCTTCGTTTGTTAAAATAGAAAATAAAATGTTAGCAAGTGCCTGAACATGAATAAAGAACCCGGGCCTCCGCCTTGGGGGGTGTCTGTGACCACACCTTACTCTGCCCACAGCACCAGCCTGGGCCGCTTCTGGGGCCTCAGCCCTCCGTGCAGTCCCGGCTGGACTTTTCCTCCCGCCGGGTGCAGGGAGTGAGGGTGCAGGGAGTGAGGGTGCAGGGAATGAGGGTTCAGAATGTGAGGGTGCAGGGAGTGAGGGTGCAGGGTATGAGGCCGTGAGACTCAGCCCCAGAAGCCCTCTGCTCCCTACAGCCTCCGCCTGCCTCTCCCTGTCCAGGCCTGCAGGTGCAGGGAAGGGGACTCACAGCTCCCTGTTGGCCAGGCCCTAGGGTTTGCTCCGGACAGAGCCCCTCTGTCCCTGGGGTCACTGGGGACTTAGGGACCTTCTCCCCGCCTCCTCCCAGGCCTGGCTGCCCCCGTACACACACTCACCGAAGGCGGCTTCCACAAGGGCGAAGCAGGAGAGGAACCAGAGGAAGGCCATGTTGCTCCGTGTGGGAATGTGCAGTGCCTGGGCGAGGGCTCCCTTTTATGTCCCCTGGGGCTCCTCACCCCCCTGGCCCTGCCCAGTCAGAGAAGCCGGAGAGCCACCCGCCCTGTTCTCCGGGGACCTTGGCGATAAGTGGGGGCCAAGCCCCTCTGGCAGCCAGGCTGGCTCTCAGCCTGGGACACGCCAGCCCCTGGGAAAGGGGCAGCTGCCCTGCCCAACGTCACCCATTAGACTTGGCAACACCAGGCACCCCCAGGGTGCTGCGGGCAAGGCCAGCATCCCACCAGGGATCAAAGAATTCACACAAAGAAGCCCAACTGGTCGTCGCCGGGAGGCCTCCAGTCCCGTAAATGCAGGCTGCAGGTCCTCAGCAGAGTGCTCAATGCATCCCTCCTCAGAGATCAAGTCTTATACAGACATTCTGGGTTACCCAGGGGCCCCCTCGAAACCAGCCCAGCCAAGCAGCTTCAGGGCGGGTGTGAGGGTGTGTGGGGGCCTAAGGAGTCGCCCCACAGTGGCCGCCAGCAGGTCACAGTTGCTGGCCGTCCATGTCTACCACTGGGTTCCACGAATTCTCTTCTGTGATAATTCACAATGTAAGGAACTATTCCTCACATAAAGCTTTTGTCTCATAAAATGAGGCTTTGATTCCACACCTTTAAAGGATGTGCTGAGGAAACAGAAGATAAGTGATGTAATTGTCACAGAACAACGAGAGAAGGACAGGCGTGTGTGTGCATCTGCCATAAGTGGAGGCGGAATGGCTTCTGTAGGCTCCTCCTCTCCCTGGGCCAGGCACCCACAGGAACAGAGCATGCGCCACCCTTGCCCTCGGGGGTCCCAGACCCCAGGGAGAGACAGGTACTAAAACAAATAAGAATATAATGCTTTTTGTGGCGTTATTTACAATAGCCAAGATATGAAAGCAACCCAAGTGCCCGTCAATAGATGGTGGACAAAAAAGCTGTGGTACATATATACAATGGAATATTACTTGGCCATAAAAAAATAAAATCTCATCATTTGTGACAGCATGGATGGACCTCAAGGGTATTACACCAAGTGAAATAAGTCAGTCAGAGAAAGACCAATACCATATGCTCTCACTTACATGTGGAATCTAAAAACAAAACCAACCAACCAACATAGAAACAGACTCATAGATACAGAGAACAGACTGATGGTGCCAGACAGGAAGGAAGTTAGGGGACTGGGTGGAAGAGGTGAAGGGATGAAGAAGTACAGATTGGGGGGTGGCTGGGAGGAGGGGAATGGAAGAGATTAACCACAGAACATATATGCATAACCCATGGACACAGACATGAGCATGGGGAAGACCTGGGGCAGGGTAGGGGTTGGGCGGAGGGGGGCAAAAAGGGAGAACATGGGAGACATCTGTAACACTGTTAACAATAAAAAGAAGTAGAGATTGGTTGTTACAGAATAGCCATGGGGATGTAAAGTACAGCATAGGAAATAGGTCAATAATATTATAACTATGTATGGTGCCAGGTGAGTACTGGAAATATAGTGGGGAAGACCATGTAAAGTATATGATGGTCTAACCACTAAGCTGTATGCACACCTGAAACCATCCTATATAATAAAAGGCTAATATGCAAATCAACCAAATGGCAGAACGAGTGGTTGCTATGACACTGACTGACCACCAGGGGGCAGATGTTCAATGCAGGAGCTGGCCCCTGGTGGTCAATGTGCTCCCACAGGGGGAGTGCCGCTCAGCCAGAAGCCGGACTCACAGCTGGTGAGCGCAGCGGGGGTGGCGGGAGCCTCTCCCACCTCTGCAGCAGCACTAAGGATGTCCTACTGACAGCTTAGGCGAACGGGGAGTG